TTGTTTTCACTTTAGATTGTGAGACTGTGCATTCAGGATGACATATCCAGAGCCCCTGTTGGGCTCTCAGGGACTATTTCACCCAAGGTCAGTTTGGGCCTCCAGAACAGAATCTATGTGGATCGCATGGGACACTGCAATTTAAGTGGCAAGAACCTGCCCAGGCCATGGGTGGGGTTTCTAGATCTCGCCCTGTGATAAACCGCAGCCTTTGGCAACACGGGGACTGTTTATTTATACAGGCTCCTTCCAGGTAGACTGCCAGCACCCACTGCCCCCATCTCAGTCTCTCCAACTCACAGGTCCCCTACCCTGGAGACAGCCCTGCCTTCCTCCTATAAAGACATCCATGTCCTACCAGGAGGAGTGTGCATGGATGAGGGCGGACGCAAGAAACAAAACTAGGAACAGAATGCAGGACCTTGGAGGAAAAGTCGGAGGGGCTAAAGGAAAGGCTCTCATGAGGGCAACATCACTTCCGCTCACAAAGTCGCACTTAGGATTGTGTGTTTTTCAAGGAAATAAAATGACACCTTACAACTGGGTGTGGTGCACACGCCTGTTATCCACACTACTGGGATGCTGAGGGAGGAGGGCTGCATGTTCCAAGGATTTGTCTCAAAAAATGAAAAGGGGGGCACTGGAATGAAATCCCGTGTGAGAGAGTACCGTGTGGCAGAGAGCTCTGCAGCACTYGCAGGGCACACGAGTGAGCTTAGCTGTTTCCTTTTGTTTTTAATGAAAGTCACATCGCTCTTGAGAGAACAGTCTACCTGGCAGCAGAAGGCCTGAGGAGCCTCTGCAGGGAGCCAAGCGCTGGGCAGCGCCCTCAGGCGGCTACCTTCTCCCTGGAGGTGAGCTCTGGCCAGCACACATTTGGCTGGGGGTGTCACGTAGCCAACTGCTCCATGGGCTTGATGTTCTGAGACACAGCGAAGGTGCAGCTTGTGCTGATCTTGACCTCGTCCACTGTGGAATCATTCCCAGAGCTCCATCAGTGTCAGCCTCCTGTTTCCAAGCACGTCAAACACAGCCTTCTCAGTGATGATGTGGTCCACGAAGCGCGGCAATGTGCACTTTCCCACGATTTGAGGGTCTTTGCCTTGGTGCAGTGCTCCATGGTGACCACTACTTTGGTCTTGTCACCAGATACCAAATCCATGGCACTGCCCACTCCTTTCACCTTCTTTCCTGGTATCATCCAGTTGGCCAGGTCGAGGTATTTAGAAACCTGCATGTCCCCTGTGAATCATGGCAGAGGAGTCATCGCTGGGAACAAAGTGACAGTCTGCTTGCCTGTGCTGATGACATCTAGATCCAATCATCTTTCGATAAGAATGGGCCCAAGCCCAGGATTCCTTTGTCACTGTGAAGATAAACTGTCATGTCAGGGCTGATGAAGTTGCTGGCCAAGAGAGGGATTCAGATGCTCAGATTGGCATATCAGAGGTCCTCAGATTCAAGAGCCAAGCATTTGATCCTGAGCATCCTTAATTCTTCTCCCAGCAGGGCTTTCCCATCTTCTTCGCTCCACAGTACTAAAAGCTCTTTTTTTTTTTCCCCTCTTATTTCGGCCCCTTTATCACTCGATCACATATATGGTGGGAACGTGAATGGGAGAAAAGTCCCCACGTCCACGATTTCTTCCACTTCCACAACCGTGACATCCGCAGCCTTGCACTTGGGCACGTTGAAGGTCCTGGCGCTTTCCTTGAAGATCACGTTGCCCGCACTGTCCACCCCTTCACCAAGGCCAAGTCCTCCCTGAGGAGCGCTCTAGGAGGTAGTGCTGGCCCCGGAACTCTCACCTCTCGTGACTGGTTCGGGATGGCCAGGCTGCCGTGGGGTAGTACCTGATGCTGGCCACCTTCCTGCACTAGCTTGCGGTAGTCCGTGGGCGTGGAGGCGCTCGGCCAGGATGCCCTGCGGCGTCAGCCCCAGGTCCAGCTCGCCCTCCAGGTACCGCTATTCGCACAGCCTGTTTTCGCCCCGGTGGGAGGTGGGAGCAGACCACGCTGCGGACCTGCTTGGTGGCTAGGAAGAGGCCCAGGCCGAAGTCGTCCACGCCCACGTTGCTGCTCACCACTTCAGGTCCCTCTCGGCGGTCCTCAGCAACGCGGCCATCAGGTTCTCGGGGTTCCCGCAGAGCCCGAACACCCCCCGCCCCCAGCATGACGGTCGCCCCTTTGCGGATGTCCTTCACCTTGTCCTCCGCATCCGTGTAGAACTAGGTGCCGGACCGAGGGCTGGTGGCGAAGCGGTGGGCGCAACCCTGGGACAGCGATGGCCCTGAGCGACTGGCAGAGAGGTGGAGCCGCAGCCCCGCCATGGTCAGTGGGGCTCTGAGGTCAGAACAGGTCGGCTGCACCA